AGTCTCATACAATAGTTCATTAAAAAGTCATATTAACTATCATGGTGCACAAGAGAAAATTACAATGTTGCTTTAAAGCTCTTATGGAAGCTGTGGATATGAGATCCGTTTAACTTAATCTATAGGACCTAGAAACAATCAAGGTCAATTCATTTAATTGGGATTGCAAGGTGGCTAGCTCGACCGTTGGATTGTGACAGGTCTCACCATTTGTCACTTTGATGTTAATGTATTTTTTTGGGAGACTAATTTCAACTGTGAGATCCGAGACCAATAAAAGTTTATGTGAAATGACTCGTTAGTAAGATCGAAAACTGTATAAGCTTCTCCAGATATATCTAAACTAAAACTCGATTAATGAACGTGCACATGAAACACTCATAGCTCTTAAGTATGGTCTCTATACAAATTTCGTATCGTGCACAATCACATCGACTATAGAACGGGATAGTTACGAAGTACTAGCTGAAAGACAAAGTGCATAACATGGACCAAACAGTAACTTCAAAATGGGTAAATTGATTGATCGCACTCGCATACTTTATAGGTGTGCGTACGTGTTCACCTTCAGAAGATAACTTATTGAGCTGCAATTTAATATTCAAGTTTTTAGTCTAAGAAAATCAAACTCTATTTACGGATATATATGCACTCTTATTTGCAACATTTTCGCCTTTAGAATCAATAAATGTGGATAACTGGATGCAGAAGCAGCGCATTCTTCATTTTAGCTAATCCTAAAGAAACATAACACTGACGAATTGCTAATTCTGAATTTAGTTAGATTTAAAACATTAGTTTATGTTCGTTTAACCAAACGGTATAGTAACTTAGTTTTTATCGAGATTCCAATTCAGAATCGACGAATTAATTAACATTTTGCATCTCTTAATTACCACCATACTCTTACCGTTTAGTTTTTCAAATTTCTGAAATTAGGGGATATATGTTGTTTATGAAAGAAAAACTAACGAATCTATATTAGTTTATAGGACATATATATACATCAGAATATATAATACCGATATGGTGCACACACTCAAAGAAAAGTAAGAGTAAAAAATAGGACGCTGACAGATCCAGAAAGAGCTAGAAGAGAAACGTGACCAATTGTTTATTCACTAAAGGAGACAACTAGTCAATGCTTTAACTGTATTTCTGGTCTATATGGTCAAGTCCGAGCTGGACATGTGTCGATTCCACTTTTTCTTCTCGCTTCCAAAGCACTTCTTTTCCCTTCCTAATTGAATATTTACTCGATAAAACTACGTAAATTTAGATGAAATATTGGGTTTGATGAGTAAATGATTAGGGAAAGATATATTTTTAATTTTACAAATTACTAAAATATTTTGGAATAGTCTTTCAATGGAGATCAGAGCCTAGTGTAGCCATTGACCGAGTCCAAGTGTACAGTGACTAGAGCAGCCCGAGTTACGGCTTTATGCCAGCATTAGAAGCCCTACATGTCTCACTCAATTCATTTATAAAATCCTAATTGGAATCTGATTAACGCACTAATCGATAATTCAGTATTAAATTTGAGGTCATGCTTCCTTTGCATTACTATATAAAACCCTCTCTCGCCTCCTTAGTAATCACCATGCTCTCTTCCCCCTTCTTAGTTTGCTCTAGCTCTATAATATCTGGTTTATTAAGGTGCTTTTTAAACTTGCAGTTTTATGTTATGTTAGCATCGTTTGAGAAGTAGGAGGATGAGTTTTATCGTTTAGTTCAGCTGCATGAGCTTTACTTATCAAACCTTTCGAACTGCGGATCCAAGTTTTACAGTTTTGCTTTTCTTTTTAGCACTAAAATGTATTAAATCTTAGTGAAACGAAAGAAGCACTTAAAAAGAAGAGTATTAAACTTGGTCTGCATGTGTAGATTGATGTTCATGCGGAAATAACAGATAGAGATGGATCTGTCTCCTTTTTCAGGTTTGGTTTCTCATCTCCATTTACTTTTGGTAAATTGCATATGTTTCATATCCTTGATCGTATGCTTTTTTTTTGGTTTAAAATATCTGACTAATACACATCTAATGCATGTATGTTTCATGTCTTTCTAGTAGTGCATGTGACTGTCATTTTTACATTGTAATTAGACTTAGTGTCCATGTTCCTATTACTTATGAACATCATATTTTGATTTTTTGTATTTACTAACAAAACTGTTAAAAGAAGAAACAAATTGACTCTCTTGTGATTTTTCATTTCATTTGCTGCATCTTCTTAAGTTTACACACCTAAGAGAGTTTTTGAAAGCATCATTCAGGTCACAATTTAAGATAAACAAAAAGTTTTACTGAAAAGTCTCTGCCCAAATTATATGTAATGTAAACACATCCTTTTTCATTATTTTTATTTTATTTTTGCAAAGTAACACTGACCCACTAAGTTGATTGTACCAAACAAATCGATATTTTCTTAGATGATTAAACTAGCAATACATGAATTTTGATTCATATGTTTATATTCACATATCTTTGTAACATGAATCTGAATCTGAAACCACCTGCCATTTTTAATGCAGTGCTACATTTTAGCATGGAGCTGTAGTGGACCTGTGGTTACCAAATTGAAGACTGACTGGTTCGCTCGAGTTGTCTCTCATGTCTAGACCATTTGTGAGAAGGGATTTTATAGGTGCACCTCACCAATCTCTAAATCTACAATTAGTGGTAGGCTCATATAAGAAAATTAGCTTCTATACATGAAGTGCATTCATGAATTTTCGAAGAGACTATATACATTTTTTTTAGAATTAGGTCACGCCGATTCTCCAAATGATATATAATCGTATACACTTTTGGACATACATTTTGCCTAATAGATGCCAAACTTCTGTCTGGAGTGTTAGAGCTTTCTCGTGATAGCTCATAATTTGTAGCTTGCACTATTTAGCTACACTAAGTTTACTTGATAAAAGAAAATTGAGGGGATTGGGGGAGGTGCTGGATTACTTCCCCTTCTCATCGATGGTCTAGATTTGCGAGGTGACTCTGATAGTGGTAAAGAGAAACAGTGATTTCGGGAAGCATCCACGATATTCCTTAAAAAGGTTTTGAAAATTTTCAGCTTGTAAAAATTATTGTATTGCTAAATTTATACCAGGGATCTACTATATAATGCAACACATTAAAACCTTCCGAGTATAGTTTTCTGAGTTGTTATTTCAGGTTGAGTAACATCATGCCATTATTCAAACGTAACGTGAATGAAAGATGTCGAAGCACATATAGCAATGATTTTGTTGCAAGGTCCTTTGCAAGAACTAAAGAAGTCAGGAAAAAAGAAGAAGGATTTATCGATGAAAGAGCAAAGTGGACGGTGGTGTTACCTTTTGACTTGTTTGTGTCATCGATTCTCTCATTCATTCATTTCATGCCGCAACAGGAATCCCCATGTATTAAGACCATCTCCATTAGGAGTTTAAGAGGGGTTCAAGGGAGGGGTTCACACGGTTTACGAGACAAACAGTGGTGAACCCGCTCCACTTGAGCTTGCTGCGGTGATACTGGTTCACCACGGGTTCACCACGTGGTGAACCATGATTCGTCGAAATTTTTTTTTTTTTTTTTTTTTTTTTGAAAAAGTAAAAAAAAAGAAAAAAGTGCCACCTGGTGAACCCCAATGGGGGTTCACTAATGGAGATGCTCTAAGAGATTTCTTGCAAATTCATATGTAATATGTTACTGGGTAGATTTTAACGACAAACGAAGGGCTATGTACATCTATCTACTTAGCCATTGCTAATATGAATATAATTACCATAACGTATATATACTTAGGGCTGAGCAAATAAAATGAATCTTAAAATCTGAATTGAATCCAATAAATAAATTCGAGTGGATCTTGAATGAATTTTGTTTTATCGTATTTCGAGTTATGGATATTATCCGAACCGAAACCGAACCTAAATGGATATCTAATAGAACCCGGAAAAATATAAATCCCCAAAAAAATTTATACCAAATATGATTTAAATTTCTAATATATACCCAAAATACATTAAAATATTCATGAACATCTAAAATAATTATCTATTACATGAATAATTAATTTAAATACTTAGTTTAATATATATATTTTGATATTTGGTTGATATTAATGTTTGTAAATAATATTAATTCTTAGCTTAATATAGATTTTGGTAAGATCGATTTGAGAAAGGTTTGTGTTTCTCGAAATGGAGTTCCTCTTTATTACCTTCTTTACTGTATATTTAATTTCTTGTCATTGGGTTTTCTATTTCAGAGTTTCCGGCTCAGCGTCTGGACGATTGAAGATTGAAGGTTAATTGTTGAAGGTGGCGGTTGAAACTTGAAATTCTTAGATTTTGGTTTTATTTTCATTGAATAATGTTTCGCATTTCATGAAAATTTGGTTTCGTTTTATGCCTTCATTTATTTGGTTTTCTCTTTTATCAATAACTATGTTTTCCATTGGTTTGATTTTGTATAATCAAGTTTGAAGCTCCTTTTTCTTTTTCTTTTTTGAATCGATATTGCATATGTTTTGGTTACAAAATAGGTATTTTTAAATTGAAGAACCAAATTTACTATGATTTGGTTACAAAGTAAATACAAATCAGATATTTTTAAATTGAAGAACCGATTGAGACTCGAACCTGAAAATACGTCGACTTGTACCGGTTCTTTGAAGATTTACTAACCATGAACCCGATAGAATCCGAACGAATCCCAAACCAAACTTTCATATAACCTGAATGGGCTTTATTTTGTAAATCCAGAAAATCGAGACCTGATTGGACAAAAAAAGGGATTGGGACCCCGGATGATGTATTCATGCAGTTTTAGGCAATATTTTTGTGGGCTTTATATTAAAAAAATATTAGTGGGGCTTCTTTCCTTCTAGAACTTGGGCTTTTGACTCTATAAGAAACGTAAGGATACAAAGGTAATTTCCAAACTGCTCCTGATCCATCGCTGCCTATATATATAGTCGCCTGCAAAAGCTAGGGTATAAAAGCCCCAAATTTTTTTTCTCCGCTCGAAGAGAAGAAAATCCTTCGCAAATCGACCCAACGGTCCCATCCTTCTTACGTCACAGTAAATCGGTAAATCGTCTCTATTCTTCTCATCATCTCCGTCTTCTATTGTGATCTTTGATTCGTTTATTGCAACTTTTCAGATTCGTCGCAAAATTCGATTTTGAGTTAGCTGGGATTTTGTAGGTTGTTGAATAATGGCGACGTTTGAGCTATACAGGAGATCGACGATAGGGATGTGTTTGACTGAGACTTTGGATGAGATGGTTCAGAGTGGTACCTTGAGCCCTGAGCTAGCTATCCAAGTTCTTGTTCAGTTTGATAAGGTGACCGATCTTGAAGTCTTTTTGCTTTTGCTTCTGTGTTGTTAATTTTATTTATATCTGATATATGTGTCCTTTTTGTAGTCCATGACTGAAGCTCTGGAGAGCCAAGTTAAGACCAAGGTGTCTATCAAGGTGATCTTTCTCTCTTGTTGCGCCTTTTGTTTTTTTTAATTCTTTGTTTTGTAATACTGAATCTTAGTAAGCAGTATTGGGTAAAAGTAAACATGTTGTTTCTGTTTGTGGTTGATAAGAGTTCTAAAGTATCTTGCTCTAGTTCGGTTTGGTTGGTTTGTGAACCTGATGCAGTATTCATGTTTCGTGGAAGAGATGTTTTAAGTAGAAAGTTTAGGGTCTTTTTAGCATTTGAGCACAATTATTCGTGTCTTTGGAGAGTTAATTAGTTCATGATTCCACTAGTTTAATGATTTTGTGTCCAGTTTTGAGTTTCTTTTGGTTGCAACTTGATTTAATCTGTATGGATACAGTTATCTGCATTATGATTAGATTGTGGTTATCTCAGGAAAAATTAGCATTGACATGAAATCTATCAAGATGCCAGTTTGATTTTTAGATGGTATATATGAATAACAGTCTGAAGCTAGACCTTATATGAGATTTTACGGTTCAACTTGAGATTAGGCTGTATGGATTGAGTTATCTGGTTTATGAGTAGGAACTGACATCTGTATTCCCCAAGATTATCCAGATTAGTGTCAATCCATACATCTTAATATCAAGTTATTTATGCTAGTGTTTCTGATGATTGACGTTAGTTCTCTTCTGACATAGTAAAACCACTATATTCATAGTCAAATATTAGAAGCTGCACACAAGATAAGAGAGAACCTTGGCAGATGAAACAACCAGATACTTATATCTTGTATTTTTTTATTTATTGTACAGGGGCATCTGCACACTTACAGGTTCTGCGACAACGTCTGGACCTTTATATTACAGGACGCAATGTTCAAGATAGACGACCGTCAAGAGAATGTGAGCCGGGTCAAGATAGTGGCATGTGACTCTAAGCTGCTCACACAGTGAGATGTAATAGATTTTTTTTTGAGTTTTCCTTTTAACTTTGTAAACTCAGCACTTGCTATATGTTGAGCTCCATTTGCAGCCAGCAATTTAGCCGCCCCCTTATATGTACATTATCGGCCCAAAGACATATGGGACTCTGTTGCTATGAGAAAGTTCTTTCACCATCTCTCTATCTGTATTGCACTTCTCCATGTCAACTATTCCCTTTCTCTGTTACACTTAAGTGTTCAACTCATCTCTTGCTTATCATCCAGTCAATGTGAAAAGCTGTCTTCTTTTGACAGTTTCCGATGTTCAACATATTCATCTATCTCCTGCTATATTCATTCATTTAAAAATCTCAATGTCTTCAGTTTAAAACTTATTAGTTATCAGAAGAATATGGATGATACTCTCACATTAAGCTTAAGGAAGATAACAGGAGCTTCTTGATCACGAGGTTGCTTGCAGAGCATTGAGAAGTCCTGCTCTATAGCTACCACATGAAGGACGATAAAAAAGAAGCACAACCAATGAGTTAATCTCTTTGGCTTTCTCCAGGACTCTAAGAAGCTCATCATCTGTTTTCAACACTTAACTCCGCTTGGATCTCTTGTCCTAAGCGGTTCGGTCTCCACCTGAAACTTTTGCTTATTATATTCATGGATGATGAATGAAGAAGCTTCAGCTCTTAGAAACAAGATTCTGACCCTCCATTGCTGCAACTGAACCATCTAGGAAATGCACTACTAGCTTTTTTCGGTTTAACCAAACCGTTGCCAAATCTTATGTAACTCCGTATGAAGAATGTTCTGCTTCTGCATTGAAAATGAATGTTAACACCAGAGATACTGAATGATTTGATCTGACCCATAGATTATGGTTGCCATGGGTCTTTTCAAGCGGCACAAACCGGGTTTCGAGCGTTGTAAACCGGGTTTAATTTAAGAACACGGAATCATAATTCTCAGAAACCTTCCCTCTTATCTAGAAGCTTTTACCACAATTGGAAAAAACGTGAACCACGAGAGAAGAAGATACAGAGACACGAGAGCTGATCGGTGATCAGTAGAGTCAACCAAATTCGCGGTGAATTGTGAGGAGGAAGGGATGATGATCTCTCAGTTCTTCGTCTTATCTCAGCGAGGAGATAACATCGTCTTCCGCGACTGTGAGCTCTCTTCTCTCTCTCGTCCGATCTCATCCTCTCCGCTTCTTCCTTCATAGTCGAGACTTATCGTCACTGATTCATCAGATTTTCTCCCTTGAAGCTTCTCTAAGCTCATCGATCTGTTTGATCCACCACCATTTCGTATCTGATCGCATAAACGTTTGACAGAATGTTCCAATTCAGATTTCACGATATTAACAGATTAGGTGTTCTTGCATCAATTAGATGATTCTCTGTTTGTTTGTTAGAGCGCATTTGATTCGATTAGATCCATTAGAAGAATTTTGAATATGTGTAACGTTTTCATTTGCAAACAGACCGAGCTGAGGTACCAAAAGGGAGTACAGAGACATTCTTCCGTAAAGTCAAATTCTGGAAGGAGGATGGTAATGCTGAGGCTCCACCTATCTTTGTATGTATCATTAGTGAATCTCAATAGCCATAACCTTTTTAATGAAAATTTATTGAACTGTTATTGTTAGTGGTGACTGGTGAGCATTCTTTCTGATTTATCTAACACTTTTGTTGTTGTTGTTGTTCTGTGATTTATAGAATGTAGATGGTGTGAACTACTTCCATGTCAAGGTTGTTGGTTTATATTTCGTTGCCACAACGAGGGTTAACGTCTCACCTTCTCTGGTTCTGGAGCTTCTACAAAGGATCGCTCGTGTTATCAAGGATTATCTCGGTGTTCTGAATGAAGATTCTTTCAGGAAAAACTTTGTGCTCGTATATGAGTTGCTTGATGAAGTCATTGTAAGTCTCAAGTATATTATATGCATTTAAGTCTCCAGTATATTAAGGGCCTGTTTGTTTCACCATCTGGATGGACATGAGAGTTTTGTTTGTTTATACACTAAAAGTACAACTCATCTAGATGGATCATCCGGATGACTTTGAAATTTTAGGCTTAATTTTGAAGTCCATCTGGATGGACCAATTTGAACCATCTGGATGGAGATGGTTCTTCCAAAATTGTATAATGTCTATTATACCCTTTTATATAATTCATAAATTACAAACCTAAACATACTATTATATTGTAACATACATGACAAAACCACACTTCCTCAAATGATCAAACCACATTTTTCCGCCAAAACCGTAAAAACACGTTTTTCCGCCAAAACTGTAAAAAACGTGTTTTCTCGCCAAAATCGTTAAAAACGGATTTCCTACCAAAACCGCAAAAATATTTTTTCCGCCAAAACCGTAAATACATTTTTTCCTAGCTAAAACCGCAAAAATGTGTTTCCCACCAAAACCGCAAAAACTCATTTTTCCGCCAAAACGCATTTTCCGTCAAAACCGCAAAAAATACGTTTTCCTAGCAAAACTGTAAAAATCCGGTTTTCTGCCAAAACGTATTTTCCCGCAAAAACCGAAAACACGTTTTCCCGCCAAAACCGCAAACAATCGTTTTCCATCCAAAACCGCAAAAAATCCATTTTTTCGCAAAAACGCGTTTTCTCATAAAAACCGCAAAACACGTTTTCCCATAAAAATGTGTTTTTCGCCAAAACGTGTTTTCCCGCAAAAACACCTTTCCCCCTCCTCCCAAAACGCGTTTTCCCGCAAAAACGCGTTTTCCCGCAAAAACGCGTTTTCCCGCCAAAACGCGTTTTCCCGCCAAAATGTGTTTTCCGCAAAAAAAACGCGTTTTCCCGCCAAAACGTATTTTCCCGCCAAAACGTGTTTTCTGCAAAAACGCGTTTTCCCGCCAAAACGTGTTTTCTGCAAAAACGTGTTTTTCCGCAAAAACGTGTTTTTCCGCAAAAACGCGTTTTCCCGCAAAAACGTGTTTTCCCGCCAAAACGCATTTTCCCGCCAAAACGTGTTTTCCCGCCAAAACGCGTTTTACCGCTAAAACGTGTTTTCCCGCAAAAACGTGTTTTCCTGCCAAAACGTGTTTTCCCGCCAAAACGTGTTTTTCCGCAAAAAACGCGTTTTCCCGCCAAAACGTGTTTTTTGCTAAAACCGCAAAAATGTGTTTTCCCGCCAAAACCAAAAAAACACATTTTCCTGCAAAAACGTATTTTTCCGCTAAAATCGCAAAAACGTGTTTCCCGCTATAACCGCAAACACGCATTTTCCAACTAAAACCACAAAAACCCGTTTTTCCCCAAATCCACAAAAACTCATTTTCGCGTCAAAATTATAAAAATATATTTGAAATTTATATCATACATATGAATAAATTAAAACAAGGGTATTTTAGTAGTTTTTTTACTAAACTCATCTAGATAGAGAAGAAAAACAGAGAAACAAACATGAGTCCATCTAGATGATGCATCGAAATGGACCATCTTGATGGACAAACAAACAATCTCAAAAATGTGGATGGACCATCTAGATGAATCATCTAGATGGATTAGCTGGATGGAGATGATAGATGGTGAAACAAACAGCACCTAAGTGATCCTATGATCTTTTGAATTAGGATTTTGGTTACGCGCAAACTACATCAACGGAAGTTTTGAAATCCTATGTATTCAACGAGCCGATCTTGATTGCTCCTGCACGCCTTCAACCTATTGATCCTGCTGCCATCTTCACTGTAAGATTGATTTTTTTTTTACCTTCTTTTGGTATATGTGAGTGACTTCTTGAATTAATGAATTTTATGCAGCAAGGAGCCAAAAGAATGCCTGGAACAGCAGTTACCAAATCGGTTGTTGCTAATGATCCCGGTGGTCGGAGAAGAGAGGAGATCTTTGTGGATATCATCGAGAAAATCAGTGTTACTTTTAGTTCAAGCGTGAGTATTTACCTTCTTTTTTTTTCTTTTTATTATATCACAAGTTATGGAAGTCTTGGCAGGTTCTGGTCAAACGATTTATTTCTGCAGATTAACCTATGCATTATCTCCTGATATCGTAGTTGCATCTTCATGTTAGTTTTATTCCTGGAAATTATTCATAATTTTTTCTGATGTCTGAACAGGGTTATATACTGACTTCTGAGATTGATGGCACCATTCAAATGAAGAGTTATCTTTCTGGTAATCCAGAAATTCGTTTAGCTCTTAATGAAGACCTAAACATAGGCAGAGGAGAAAGATCAGTATATGGTATTTGCTTACTTCACTCCTTTGAATGAAAATTATTATCTTGAGATTCTCAGTTTGAGAATGATTCTGTGTCATATTCTATTTTGAAATGTGGTTTCTGTTCCGTGACATTTGGGCATTGAGAATGCTTATTAGAACGTGAAATAAGCTGCATGACTCCACTTATTTCCTTCAGAAATGATTCTTTAGTTATATTGTTGCATTCTGCTGCCTCTTTAAGGCAAATCATTATCAACTGCATACACATAAAGTGGGTTCGATTTACTATTACGATATAATACTTGGTAAAATTACAACTGAGACAAATTTTCATTATATTGTTGCAGATTATAGGAGTTCTTCAGGTTCAGGGGTGATACTTGATGATTGTAACTTCCATGAGTCTGTTCGTCTTGACAGCTTCGATTCAGATAGAACTTTGTCCCTGGTGAGTTTAAAAAAACTTACCACATAAAACACCTTGTCTTTTTTCATAACATCCTGTTTTGCTCTTTAACTTGTGTTTCGTTTTCAGGTTCCACCAGATGGTGAGTTTCCAGTAATGAACTACCGTATGACCCAGGAGTTCAAGCCTCCTTTTCATGTTAATACTTTGATTGAAGAGGCCGGACGCCTTAAGGTACAGTTTGATGCGTACACGTCTTCTGGTCTGATGGAAATCCAAAAAAGTTCTTAGTTATTATATAAATCTGTATCCCAGTGCTTAATTTGTACATCTCTCTGCTTGCTGAAATTTAGGCCGAAGTGATTATCAAGATACGCGCTGAATTCCCTTCAGACATAATTGCAAACACAGTTACTATCCAGATGCCATTGCCAAATTATACTTCCAGGTACATCAAAAAATTGGTCGGTGCGCTTGCATAGATGATAGCCGTGGTAACTGTTGAATCACACAAGGCATTAGATTCATGGAAAATGTTTGTTGTGACAGGGCTAGTTTTGAGTTAGAACTTGGTGCGACTGGACAGAAAACAGATTTCAAGGAAACCAACAAAATGCTGGAATGGAGTTTAAAAAAGGCAAGTCTTGATCTCTCTCGCGTGAGTTTATAGTATGGTTCTTCCATTTGCTAACTGTGGTGTTCCAGATTGTTGGTGGGGCTGAACATACACTGCGTGCGAAGCTGACATTTTCACAGGAGTTTCATGGTGATCCTCTTAAGACAAAAAGCTTTTCTTATTTGTTTTCCGCAGAGAAAGATAAAAGATTACTGATAATACATTCTCAATATCGTTTTAGGTAACATCACAAAGGAAGCTGGGCCTGTCAGCATGACGTTCACGATACCGATGTACAATGTTTCTAAACTTCAGGTAAGTAAAATGCCGAAAATTACCGTAGCATTAACTCTCCTTTTAGATCACCTGTTGTAACGAACTGTGTGATGCAGGTCAAATACTTGCAGATAGCAAATAAATCAAGTAGTTACAATCCATATCGTTGGGTTAGATATGTGACACAGGCCAATTCGTACGTGGCTCGGATATGACCTACTTTCATATAATGTTTTGTCACTTTTGTATGTTTCAAGTAACTTTTCTATTTCCCTTTCTCGACAATGTTTGTTCGGATTCTGGTCATACTTGTTCTAAGCGGGTGTTGAGAAGATGTTTCACAGTACGTGTCGAATGTTAGCTCTTCTATCTAATTTCTCTTTTATCTATGTTCTTGTTTTGGTTTTCACCATATGCTTTAGTTTATTTTTGTTCTCGCCTTCCCTGATGATCTCTTCTATGACACTTGTTAGAAGAACACCATCGCTTGTGTGCACGAGTAGATTAGCTTTATATTCATGGTTATTACAAAAGTAGAAATAACTTTCTTCCCCACAGTACACTATATATATAGCTCAGCTCACTCTCTCTACGTCTGTAAAACTACTTCTAAAACGACGACGTATGCTCCTGTTTTTATTACAAGGCAATTCAAACAGATAAATGTTTGTATGAGTAATGATTAATACGGATTACTAAGCTTCGCTATCATACTATAACAACAAGTCGCTTTGGCCGAGTGGTTAAGGCGTGTGCCTGCTAAGTACATGGGCTCTGCCCGCGAGAGTTCGAATCTCTCAGGCGACGTTTATTGTTTTTGTCAAACCTCTTTAGAATGACCAAGAAGCCCAATTAACCTTGCTGGTTAGCCCTATAAAGCAAACAACCGGCGAGTCTGACTTCAGTTCCAAACAACAATAAAGTTTTTACATTAATGATTATTGGTCAGAAGGAAAGGATCAATAGCTCTTAACAAAGGCTTTGTTCCGACGGTTTGTAGGCAAGGACCTTTCACTAAATTGTCATTTTCTTTACGTTAGAGCAAATCAAGAAGCTGCTTCGTGATTTTTTTTATCCTTCTTTTATTATTGAAAATGAAGATAATGAAGAATATAAGCAATAAACTAGCATATGAATCAATTATGTTTTTGTTCAAGCAGCACTGTTGTTACATACAATTCAATTTTTATTTGTTTCTATACTCTAAATGTAAATGTCTCTACTGAACAGTCAATAACACATAAAAAAGAGTGTAGTGTAGTTTATTTGGTCTTTGAAACAACACGAGAAAGAGAACTATAAAGAATGAATCTGTTATTTGTCGTTGGGGGGGGGGGGGGGG